TTGGTGGGCTTTGGTCGCAAAAGAATTTAAGCTAGATGAACTTGTTTTTTTATTGTAAAGATTTTTGGGCATTATCTGATTAAACAGAGTCCAACAAAAAAAAAACTTAATAAAAAAAATGGGTCCAAAAGTGTTTTAATGGATTTTAACTTGATGGGCTCAAATGGGGTTTAATAAATTACAGAAGTTTAGGTTATTAATTTAGAAAGGGAGGGGGAAAAAAAAAACCGACAACAAAAACGTTATTAAACAGCTTAGTCATTTAAATTAGAATAAAAAAGTTTTAGAAACTTAAAAAATATTTAGTTTTGATTATTAATTTTAAAAACTTATACCCAACAAGTTATCTTTTAATTTTTAATTTTGATTATTCAAATCTTAATAATTAAAATAAAAAATGATAAACAACAATGTTATTAAACAGTTATAAATATCCAAAAGAAAGAAAGAAAGAAAGAAAGAATGCAGTTTGTGGCCAAAAAAAAAATAAAAGAGAGAAAAGAAAAGAAAGAAAGAATGCAGTGTTCATTGCGTAAGTGCCAATGGTACATTGCATGGGGCTAGCTAGGCCTTATACTATTGATAACCAAATAACCAATTTTCCAAACTAAACTAAAATTTTGTGGTTTGGTTAAACGGTCAAAAGGGTAATTCGGTTAGGACCAAAATTAATCAAACCTTTTGCTTTGGTTATAGTTGAGGCCCTAAATCACTACATTAACCAAAAAGAGCCACTAATTTAACTAAGTACACAAATTGGTTTAATAAAAAAAAAAAGAACCAAATCAAAATTTTAATACAAAAATTGAAATTTAATTTGAAATTGTCATTAATTCAGAAATTCAGTTAAAACCAAACCGAGCAAAAACAAATTTTCAATTAACTGAGCCAAAAAATATATTTCCAAACTATAATTTGGTTCGGTTATGAAGAGATTAACCAAACTTTTTTTCTTCCTTTGGTCACTAGACCAAACCGCACCCCCCCCCCCCCCTATTCTGTATAATGGTCCAGGTAGCCTTCCATACTGAGGGGAGCTTTACAGCACACGTGTAAGTGGAAAAATTAGTGCCGTTCGCAGTTGAAGTTGAAGTTTTCTCGAGCAATTCCAAAAATCCAATTCGTATTTGCACATTCCACTACTTGTTTGTTAGTAAATCAGTTGTTGGTTAACAGTAACATCAAAGAGAAGATTCTTTTCTCTAGGCATCTTTTCTTTAAAAGAAAAATTATTGTGTAAAATATACTAAATTACATAATAAAAACTATTGAATAAAGAGTGAATTGTTTGATATTAAAGCCCTTCTCACATCTAATATTTTGGACTGAAAAATATAAGTATTTTTTTCTTATTATTTTTTTAATATATATTTATAGTGAGGGTGCCTTTAAAAGTTTTCATGTATATTAAATTAATTTTTTAAGATAATTATAAAAACACACTCTACGTGAATCTATTAACACATGTAATAAAATTAATTTTTTTTAAATGGAACCAAAATTTAAAGTTTAGATCTACCTACAAGAACACAATGAGAGAGAGATCGAGAGAGAGAGGGCGAGGTTGGGAGAGAAGGGTCGACAGCAGAACACGAGGACAGCGGACAACACAGCGGTATGAGGGTATCCAGATGCAGAGCAAGGATCGGCCAATGCAGTTTTATGGGGGTTTTGAGAAGAAAGTATACAATCAAGCAACTCCATTCTTCTTCACAAACTTTCCAGAAGACTGGACTTTTGAACAGATGTGGAGAACTTTCAACAGGTTGGACAGGGGTAGGGTGATCGAGATTGAATGCCCAAAGAAGAGGGATCGGCTGGGAAGGAGATTTGGGTTTGTTAGATTCTTGGAGGTTAAAGATACTGGTGAGCTGGAAAGAAAGTTGAATCAGATTCAAATTGCAGGAATCAAACTTCAAGCCAACAAACCACGGTTTGGTAAAACATGGCATGAAAAACAGCACCACTGGAACACAGAAAATATAAGGAGAGGGATGGTTAAAGATGATGCTGAATGGCAACAGAAAAAGTCTTATGCGGATGCAGTCAAAGGAATGACAGCAGAAAACAAAGTGCATGGAATGAGAAGGGGACACTTCCACGGAGTGGAAGGAAGGGATCATACCAAAACTAACAGTGCAAATGAGCAAAGAAGATGGAGATGGAAGCCTAAAATACAACCACAAGCATGGACAGGAATGGAGCTCAAAGTTAACAAGGAAGAGTACCAGTGGCTGGAGAAATGTTTTGTTGGGACTGTTCATTCTATAAGCTTGATTCCAACTTTGCAGGAGAAATTTTATATGGAAGGAGTCTTTTACTGCAAGATCAGAGCAATGGGAGGAAGGTTGGTGTTGTTAGAAGGAAATGAATATGAAGACTTAAAGGAGCTGGTCGAAAATGGCAAAGATTGGTTAGGAAATTGGTTCGAAGAAATCAAACCATGGTCACCAAACATGGTGGCAAGGGAGAGGTTCGCATGGATTAGATGCTTGGGATTACCTCCACACGCATGGAAGATGGATCCACACGCATGGAAGATGGACTTTTTCCAATCACTCGGAAATCTGTGGGGCACTTTTGTTTCGGTGGATGATAGCACAAGCAAGAAAAAACGCCTTGACGTTGCTCGATTCCTCTTATCAACGCCTGTAACGGAATCCATTTCAAAATCTTTATCAATAAAGGTTAATGGAATCATTTTTACAGTTAAGTTCTCTGAGGAGGAGTCCAGCAACGGGATGCATGTTATGAATACAGATTTTAAGATTAAAGAAGCTTACGAGGAAGGCGAGGAATCTTCAACGGACGGATTTGTCAGTACAGATTTCAACATGCCTGGAATGGAAGCTGCAGAAAATAGAGGATTTGAAGAAGATGATGACGTGGAGATTCAATTAGGAGTGCAGGAGACAAATCAGCAAGAGGCGGAGAGAAATATGGACACGGTGGCATCATCAGAGGGGGACACATCAATTGTTAAGAAGAAGGGTCAACCAAATGGACAAGAAAGGAGTGTGTTAGGTTCTGGAGAAGTAGTAGAAGATGAAGATTTGGTGTCAGCGGGAACAGCCGAAAAGCAGCAGAGTTCAGGGAGCGCAACAGGTAGTTTGGAAGGGCTTACAAGCAAGCAATTAATGAGTGATGGGCTCCAGAAGGAAGAAGGACAGGTCCAGCTAGAGACGGAAACATGCAGAGAGAGTATCGAGAACAGCCACAGTTTCAATAATGGGGAAAGGAGAGAGATAGGGGGGGAGAAAATTTCAAAAATAACAACGGACAAAATTGCAAAAGGAAATGGGCCGGGTGGGCT